ACCTGCACAAAGCCTGACCCCTGCTCGCAGCCCCCAGCCCAGAGCTGACCCAGGTGTCAGCAAAGTCCAATACACTGCATCCACAGCAGAGGGAGGCAGCTGAGTCACTACATTTCAGCAAAAGCCAACTCACAGCAGGGCCCAGAAACAAAATCAATACACTTTTCCCTAAGTTACCAGAAGTGCAGTGGGTACAACACTCTGGGAAGGCCTTTGCAGAGAAACACAGCAGTTCCCAGGCTCTGCAGCTGTGCCTGTGGGCAAAAGCAGACCCAAATCCATCCTTCCATTGTAGGTGTTCCCACAGCGCCGTCAGCACGGGCTCACGGTGCTGATGGAAAGGGTTTGATTTCCTGAATGCCCTGAGCTGATCAGAACAGCACAGGCATTAGCCAGCAACACAATTACAGCTCACAGCGAGGTGACACTGTGTGGGATGAGGCTGAAATGGCCCCAAGCCATTGCTGCCCAACAGCTGCTAGGGGACGCTGAAGAGAGGTCCCTGCACACATCCCTGGACGCAATTCCTGCCAGCAGCCAAGGCAGCAAAAGCCGGGTGCTCCAAGGTTGGATTGTCCCTGGGCACGCAGGGCTGCCCACTGCCCCAGCCTCCGGGTCAGCACGGGAAGGAAGGCGAGGTGGCCCCAGGGGGAGCAGAGCCCGTGGCAGAAATAACAACACACAGCAGCCACCTCCGCAGGCAGAGGAACGCGGTGTCCGCAGGGATGCGACTGGGAATGCCAGCGGCTCCACGGAACCGCTCACTCGTCAGCACGTGTTTATTACCGAGAGAAGAGCTCCCTGTCATGGCATTATTCATTATTTGTATGAGGCCAGCAGCTCACCAAATAACACGCAGGCCTGACTGCTCAGGAGAACACTCCAAAAAACCCAGACAAGCAGTGCAAATAGCATTAGACATGCAAGCCGCTCCACTGCCTGCCATGGTGACTGCTCCTGCAGCGGGGCCGCTCCACGCACACAGCTACACCCCGTCCAAGCACTCAGCCCTGGAGGCCCACGGCAGAGAGGGGAATGTGAGCTAATCACGGATACTGCTGCAGCTCTCCATGAGGGTTCCGATGAGGAGGAAGCAAGGAGTAAAGCCATGTGCATGTACACACAGAATTTAACTCTTCCAATCAGCAAACCTTAAAACTCAATTTCAACTCAGCACTATCAGGTGTTCTTTTTGTGTTATGGAAATGATATCTGTGTTAAAACCGCACGTTTGTTTTCAAAATATTGTTACAAATCCCCAGTTTTTCTGCTAAAGGTAGGATGTCAAAATAGCCTTAAAAGTGTAACATGACAGAACACAACCTCCTCACCGTGCTGAGCCTGCAGGCAGCTGGGGATGGTGGCTGGGAGCACTGGGCTGTTCCACTCAGCTCAGAAAACCTCAAGGGTTCCCAAGTGATGAGGTCCCCTGTGCTGGTCATTTGCAGCAGCAGAAAGACACAACGAAAGCCCCCCCATTCTGGGGCTTGGAGCTCCCACTCCCCTCACACAGCCACTGCAGCATTTCCCTTCCAAAGTCCCCAGACCAGCAGCATCTGAGCATCCCGAGGTACTGGCATCAGCACAGGTGAGCATGTGCAGCACCCACAGCGGTGCAGGGCAGCATGGCCATGGCACAGTGCCAAGCACGACCACCTCCCCTCCTCCTCCAGCCACACAGAGCCACTGGGACCACACCGACCCCAGGGCTCCCCTGCAGACCCCTGCCCACCTCCCTGGGTCCTCTCCACTCTGAGACCGAACCAAGGCCCCTAGCACCACAAGGAGACAAACCTGCCCAGGTGCTGGACACTGCAGGCAGTTTGCAGCTCCCATTATCCACAACATCCCTACACAATTGTGTGCCCTTGATCCACGCCCAGGCAGGGAACTCAGACATGTCCCAAATGCTGTGCCTGTGCTTGTAGTGAGCATTTATGGATGTAATCTCCATTCCCTGGCCTCAGAGGCCTCTCTGTCATTCTGCCATCCTTTTTGTGCTCTGAGAAAGGCTGTCAGTGCTTTTCCAAACGCAGGATAGCTCAGGACAGAGCTCATGGAATGGGACATGCCCACTGAGGCATGAGCATCACACTGGAGAGAGCAAATGCCTGCAGTCCAGCCTGGCCACGGGGGCCATGCAGAGATCGCTGTGCCTGGGCACATGAGAGAGCAGGGGGACACTTGGACACTGGCTAAAAATCAGCAGCAGCTCCTGCAGGAAAGCTGGCATATCCTGGGGAAGGAAGGAGCAAGTTAAAGACAACAGGTTACAAAGGAACAGCAGCGGAAGATTGGATGTCATTTAAAGAAAGCTGTACCATGGAACTTGTCCTTCAGACAGCACAGCATTAGGATGGACAGAATCATAAACTGCAACCACACAAACAATCCTGGCAGCATAATAGAAACTAACCAAAACTAATCTGGGCCCAGTTTGCACCAGTTCGTGTGTGGGAAGACCTCTGTTTGCAACTGACGTGAACTGCATGACAGCACATGAACTGAGCTGAAGAGATCAGCGACAGCATACAAACCTTCAGCTGTCCCTACAGGTTCCCAGGAAAAAACAGAGCAGGCAGTGTGGAACTGCCATCCTGACATGCCACCCTGTCCCCAGCAGCACAGAGCTGGCATCCCCTGGCCCGTGCTAGCATCAGCTCCAGCCACTGAGAGAGATCCTGGACCGGACATCCAGAACGTTTAGGGCTTTTCAATCTCAAGGCAGCAAAGACACAGGTAATGCAGCATGGAGTACACACAAAGAAATGGCATTGCCCTGGTGCCATCTCCATTTTACAGGAGAAACCGAGGTGAAGAAGGTATTTCCCTTTGCTCCAGCTCCTCGAGGCTGGGAGATAATCTTGTGACTGAACAACTAAGCAAAGAACCCTGAAGGTCTGCCATCCCCTTATTTCACTATGTAAGAAAAAACCTGACCGTGTTAAAAGCTCACAGTGTGTAATGCAGAAGTCACCATAAGGAGATGACTTCAATAGTTGCTTCTTTGCTAAAAAAACACTGACATTTCTGTGGACAGGAAAAAAATCTCCAATTGCTCTACCTGGGACACAGCTATGAGCTGTCAGCCTCCCTGGCACACTCAATCAGGTGATCTCAGAGAAGGTCAGGAAGAAGCAGCTGCTGGGATGGACGGTGAGCTTTCCCCATTCTGCTTTTTGGTTTGTGTCTGCAGGGCACTAAAAGCCAGTGCATGCCGACAGCCCAGCACCAGTACAGCACCAGGGAAGCTGTGGCTGCTGCTGAGGCACAGACCACCAGCAATGTCCTGCCCCTGCAAGGCCGAGCTCTTGAAGGAGGGGGGAGAAGCACGCGTTTGGGCTGGGCAGGTGTGAAGATAACTGCAGGTCAGGCAGCCAGGGCTGCAATGGCACAAAGCACCAGTTATTACCACCCCACAGCCTGCTCTGCCCAGACCCTCACACACCAAGGGTGCCCCAGCCTGTTCTCCCACCTCTCCACCCAAGCAGCAGAGCTCCAGGGCTTGAAAGGAGCAGCACACACCAGAGAGCTGCTGCAGGGATAGGAAATACCAAACTGCATTCTGCAAATGAAAACCTGTGTGTGCCTCTTACTCCACAAGAGGAGTTACACCCACTCACTAGCCCTTTTCTAGTAGCATAACTCTAAAGATGAAAAAGCAGCTGCTCATCATATTCAGTGCTTGATCTTCTTCTGCTTGTTTTGAATAAAACCAAACTTTTTTTTTTATGTGCCACTTTATATCCTCTTCTAGCCAGCCTTCTAAACTTATTTTTCAAGCTAAGCCTCTCCTCCAAGAAAATTCAGTACAATAAAATACTGTCTGAAATTATATCTATAGACCCAAAAACTATAGCCAGTCCTTTAGTTCTTCCCCCCATCAGAGCAGCACACTGAAAACACTCTCAGGGACAACCTCACTAAGTTCTGATGTCCACTTTCTTGAAACCCCTCCAGAAAATCCCACAGCATTTCCCCAGAGCCAAGTGGATGCCACACCAAGTGTTACAAAGACTTTCCTCCCACAATCCCCACAGAAGATTGCCTGGAGTTTCTCACCTTTAAATACCCCTAATATGCAGACCATGTACTTTATTTTAATAACGAGGGACCAGATAATCCAGGCAGTAACTTGCCTGCTGCCTCTCATTTTTAGCTTCATTTGCAGAGCAACTAAGCAGCTGCCATACTAACCACAACAAGAACTTCACCAGCTCAGCACAGACCTTTTTATCAAGAACCAGTACAGTTTGCTTTGAATCATGAACACAGAGCTGCTGGGAGTTTTTAAGTTCCATTGATGTGCTGCATTCTGCTCAGAAATTTTTAACGAGAGAGAAAAACACTGAGCCATCACAATCCATTGATTTCCTAAACCTGTCGAGACATTTAACACTTTCATACTGCAGTCCAGTGTTTTCTAATAACCAGGTCTTATAGCATAAAATTCCTTTAAAATGTTACCCAGCGTCACCCAACAGCATTTAGAGACTTCTTCACGAACAGAATTAGATTTTGTCAATGGAAAAAAACTTCCTAACGTGGAACTTGTTGAATAGAGCAAACCTCATTTGTGAAGCAAAGCCTGTGCTCGCATGAAGGCAGCATCCTTCAGCCCTAGCAGCACCTGGAATAACTTGCGATCTTGTTTATTTCAGTAATTATTAATTACCGACCTATTTAGGCGTATTGTACACCAACTGCAGCTGAACCGCTACGGTATGCTCACACACTCCGAGCTACCGAGAGGGATGTTATCAGAGATTTCCTGCTTTTCCACCAGAGCAGCGCGTTTTCCACCGCCACCGCTGCCAGGCGCGGCCCCGGCGACCCGCCCGCCCCGGCCCCGCGGGTCCCGCCGGTCGCGCCTCGGCCCCGGCTCCCACCGGGGGCAACGGGGGACCCCCGGGACCACGCCGGAGCTGCCCCCGGCCCGCACGGACACGCATTCCTCGCTCCCCCCGCCGCGGATCGCGCCCGCAGCCCTCCGCCCTCACCTGTACCACTCCAGCCCCTTCTCGTAGTTCCTGTCGAAGAAGTGGGGCTCGGTGCCCACGGCCCGCACGTCGGGGTGCGCCCGGATGGCCTCCAGCAGCGCCCGCGTCCCCCCCTTCTTCACCCCGATGATGAGGGCTTGCGGCAGCCGCTTCTCCCCGTAGTCCGGCGTGGTGCTGCTGCTGCCGCCGCGGCTGCCCGGGCTGCCGGCCCGGCTCAGCTCCTCGTCCGTGGTGCTCGACTCCTGCGGGTCCCTCTCGAAGGCTCCGCTCTGCGCCGTGATCACCTCCCCGGGGGCCAGCTGCGTCCGCAGCCAGGTGCCCGCCGCCCCTTCCCGGCTGCCGTTGGAGGCCCGCGGCGGAGCGGCTGAGGGGGCCGGGGCGCCGGGGCCGCCCGGGGGGCTGGCGGAGGAGCGCGGGGCCGCCGTGACGGGGAAGGCGGTGGGAGAGCGCGGGGCCCCGGGGGCCGCCGAGCCGGGGAGCGCGGCGGGGGAGCGCAGGGCGGCCGGGCCGGTGCCCCCCATCAGGCTGTAGCACAGGTAGGTGAGGCACAGGGAGAGGCTGCACATGCAGAGGAGCTTCCGCGCCGGGGGCCCCTTAGAGCCGCGCCCGCCCGGCACCCCCGGCTGGGCGGGGGGGGACATGGCTGCTCCCCGCTCCTCGCCCCGGGCACCGGGCGCACATGGTGTCAGCCGCCGCCCGGCCGCCCCAGCCGCATGGGGCGCCGCTGCCCGCCCGCCCCGCCGCCGCCGGTGGGGGGGGGCCCCGCATGGCACGGTCGCCGCCGGCCCCCGCCGGGTACCGGGGCGCTGGGGCTCCGCGCGGCCGCGCTCCGGTGCCACCGGCTCCGCACTGTTGCCGCCCGAGTTCCTGCCGCGAAACTTTGTGCCGGGTGGGAGGCGGGAGCGCGTTCCCGGCGTGGGGAGGGCCCGGCCCGCCCCCGCCGCCGCCGCTTTTTTTGACCTCCCTTTTCAGCTGATGTATCTGTAGAGGCCCTTCTTGTTATTCTGTATGTCCTTTGCCAAACTCAGCTCCAGCCTTGGCCTTCCTGCTTCCATCCCTACACAACCAGGTAGTTTCCCTATGCTTTTGCCATGATCCTCTTCCTTTTTCCACTGCCTGTGCATTTCCTTCCTCCCCTCGAGTTTGCCCAACAGGTCCCACCTTGGCCATGTCAGACTTCTTCATTGCCCAGTTTCTTGTGCCTGGGGATCACAAGCTCCCATGCTCTGTGGAAAGGGCCCTTAAAGACCTTCCAGCTCTGCTCTGCTCCTTGTCCCTGAGGGCAGTTTCCCAGGGGTCTCATTGACTAACTCCTTGAAGAGCTGGCCGTTTGCTTTCCTAAAATTCAGAACCCTGACTTTACTCTTTGCCTGACCTAAATCCCTCAGGACTGCCCGTCTCATTGACTAACTCCTTGAAAAGCTGGCCATTTGCTTACCTAAAATTCAGAGCCCTGACTTTACTCTTTGCCTGACCTAAATCCCTCAGGACTGCCAGCTCCACAGAGCAATGCACCTTTGGGATCCCAGCTACACTTGGTCTCATTGCAAAAGCAACATCTGGAAAAAAAATTTAACTGCCAGTGTTAGGCAGCTACCCAGAGCTGAGAAATGTACTCACAAAAAAAGAGGAAAAGCACCAATGTTTCCCATAATGAACAAAAGCTCAATGCTGCTCTCAGCTGGACATGTGTTCTCCCTGTGCAGCTCCAGTTCCAATGGAGATAATTCCTTCATAATGTATTTTTTATGGCACACATGAGACCTCTGAAATGCAGTGTCTTGTGTCCTGTAAATCATTTTCTGTAACTTGTGGATTCCTTTTCAGCTGCATTACAGCAGTGTGACTGTTTGTGGGCTGAGCGGGGCTGACGGGAGCCAGCCTGGCGTGCCCGCTCGCGGCGCTGCTCTCGCCTGTGGGAGCCGGCGTGGCAGGAGCGGCACAGCCGCCCCGGCAGCAGCGCTGGGCCGCGGGCACCCCTGGGGCTCTGCCCGGGCAAACAGCTCCTGGCCCGCTCTGCCCCAGCCCACAGCAAGGCTGCTGCCAATTCGGAAATCGGGCTGGAACCTTAGCGGGAACCCAGCAGGGCGGTGAGGGTCACACGGCAGGCTGGGGACAGACGGACGCTCCCAGGAGGCAGAGCAGGTTGGCTTGGCTGCTCTGCTTGGCACGTACACATGGCCTCTCCTGTAAATGTTCTGGTATGTATGGATTCACCTTGAGAGAAATGAATACATCTTCTCATACATGGAGATACGTTTATTCCAAACTGGAGAACCTGCTGGCAGCCACAAGCCTGCTCCTGAGTTTTCCAATATCAAAAACCCTAACCTAACCCAAGCCAAAACCCAAACAGTTTTCAGTTTCAAAAATAAGATAAACCTCAAACTAGACTCTGTTTAATGAAGTGACAGTGCTTTGGTCTTTCTGACGCTGAGAACAAACCCAAAGTGCAGTGCTTAGCAGAATGCCCCAGCTTGACATCCCTGGTGCTCTGGCTCCTGTGACGTGCTGCACAGGAGACTAACAGGATTTACAGCAAACCACACAGAACGGAGAGACAATTTCTTCTTGGGCACCAGCTTCCAGCCCAGAGGAAATTTTATAACTGGAATGTGAAGCCCTCTAAAACAAATGGTTCATCCTTAAATGCCTGCTGCTGGGCTCCGGCTCCTGATTCATCACAGAGTGTGTATTTCTCCTGCGTGGATGTCAAATGCATCCATGAGCAGATCTGAGTGTTATCCAATGCTGGCTAGTGCTGTTCAGCCATGGATGCAATAGGAGCTGATGGAGTGTAACACTTTATTTGACAGTTCTGCTCTTAAAGGCCTCTGTATTTACCCTGCATACCTGCCTCTCCAAAGCACATCAATTAGCAGTGGGAGCACTTCCAGGCGGGCAGGCAGCAGTGCCCAACCTAGCAAGGCCAACTGGGGATTGCCTGGGTTGGGCAGATCACCTGGTCCATGCCCCACATTTTGGCAGGGATCAAGATCAGTTGATTTTGACAAAGGGAAAGGAATCTGGGCGGCCATGGAGCAGCCACCCCTTGCGTGCAGTTTTTTCAAAGTTCCCATCACTTGGAGGGACTTATGGCCGCCCCACCTGGGCAACATGCCTGTGATGCTCTCATCTGCACAGGGGCAGCAGTGCTGAGATTTGTCCCAGAATCTTGGACATGGGGACATGTGGCAATAAGTCATGGCTGGCAGCTGAGAGCCCTTCCCTGCAGCTGCCAGGGTCTGAGTGCACGTGCTGATGACCAGGCTGCAGTCAGAGCCACGTTTGACACATTCTAGGCTGGGAAGCCCTTTCAGAGGTGCTGCTGCCCCAGCTGGAGCTGTGCAAAGGCTGCTGGCCTGGCTCATGGGGGGAGGCAGAGCTCCACTCCAAGGCTGAGAGGACTGAGTGCTGGCACACTCACTGCTCAGCCATGGGATTGTCTACTCCAGTATTCCCACACCTCTGCTTCGGGAACAGAAACTGGGAGAGGAGCAGAGCCAGGCTCTGAGGACATCTTCAGACTGCAGAGCCCGTCTGAGGGGGGCCAAGTGAGAAGGGGGCTGGAGAGCATGTCCCTGCTCTCTAAACACACAAGCAGATGAGCACCAGGAAAGGAGGAAAATGGCCTCACATAATAGTCTGTGCTGGCACAAAAACAAAGAGGTATGAGTTGGCACAAATAACTTTTGGCTGGAAATCAGATGGTTTCTAACAGTGGGAGAAATGTTGTTCTGGAACAGATTCCTGAGAGCAGCGTTGGGGGCAAGGTATGCAATTAGTTTTAAGATTGAGTTTGAAATGGACTTTATAACATCATTGCCAGCAATTGCAGGGAAATGGGATTTGATGGCCCAAGCTGTCCCTTCTAGTTCCACGCTCCTGTTGTCATTCACAAGCGCCGATCAGAGCAGGAGCCCTCTAACAGGAAAGAGCTCTCTAATCTGTCAAAGGCTTAACAAGATCCAGTGAAGAGAATCTGGAATTAGACTAATTTAAGTGCAACGAATAAGGTGTATTTTAACAGGGACAGTAATTTCCTTTCGTAATAATTTGTGAAGGAATATCACAGGACACGTCTCTTGGAAGGCTTTACACTGCAGCTGGAATTCTTTGTAAAGAACTGGGCCCAGCTGGGAGCCAGGATGTGGTCCCTGCAGGAGAGTCTGTGGCCTGAGAATCTCTACATGCCAATACCCCAATTATTGCTTCTTCTAAGGACTAAATTCCAGAGATTATCACCTCAATTTCATGACTTTTACAAACACTAGGAATATATTTTTCAGAAAACTTCAGAGGCTAACCTCCCATAATTCCTCCTCATTATGTACTTGTCAACAGAAGCAACAAAACACCTTGAAAAGAAGTGGATTAATGCACACTGTGCTCTACATCCTTCAGGGAATGAATAAAGTTTGTAAATATATACTGAATAGCAAAAAACCCAGTAAAACTGCAATGACATTTAAACTCCAGTCAAAGAAGGAACTTAAGATGTTTTGCAGTGGCATTCCACTCTGTCAAGCCATTTCCCCATTCATAGAAACAGCTTCAGGTTTAGAATCATTGTTAATTCTGATGGTGGTTAGTAGCAGCTCCAGTGATCTAAACGGCCCAGTCTGGGACCTACATTCATTTCCTTGACCCAAAATTACAAAGGTGGAAGAAGACATCACTGGGCAAGCTGCTCAGGCACCAAACCCACTGTTTCACTGATATGCTGTTCACAGTTGCTATAAAAAAAGGAACAGCTCTTGGACTTAGAAAAATGCATGTACCACAAATATGCTGTGGAACGTGGTTTATCCAGTGTATAGTCCTGAAAGTGGAGCCAGAGGGAAAGCCAGTCAGCCTGAGAGGTGTGTCCTAGCAGAGGTGAGAGGAGGGAAGAAAAGGGGCACTCACAGGTGACACAGGTGGTCCCTCAAGGTCCCACCAGCTCCTGAAGTCTGCCTTTGCACACTCAAAGGTGCTGAACACCCCTGGCCCCCACTGCTCCAGAATCAGAGCAGCTATGGCAAACACAGGCAATGATGGAGCTTCAGGATCTTTGGTTTCTTCTGTCACCGTTGGGACAAACAGGCCTTAGGAAAGTCAAGAAAATATTTGAAACTAGGAGATTTTCCATCTATTGTTGAACAACTGAATTACAGATCTGTTCCCTCCAAACCTCCCCTTGCAGTTCTGGGGCTCCCCCTCGTCCCCCCCACTTCTCCTTCAGTCAGCCCCCTGCCCACGCAGATCCCTGCGGTGCTGCGGTGACCCAGCCTTGTCTGTCCTTGGGGAGATGCTGGGGAGACACCCCGGGGCTGTGTCACCCTGCCCACCCCGAGCCCAGCCTGGCACAGCCAGCACCCCGGGGACAGGGCCGGGCAGCGGGGTCCGGCTGGGGGGCTGCAGCCCCAGGCCAGCCCTGGGGAACAGCCTGTCCCCCCTGCCAGCCCCCGGGGCCAGCCCTGGGGAACAGCCTGTCCCCTGCCAGCCCCCGGGGACAGCCCTGGGGAACATCCTGTCCCTTGCCATCCAAGGCCAGCCCTGGGGAACAGCCTGTCCCCTGCCAGCCCCTGGGGACAGCCCTCCGGAGCATCCTATCTGCCCCCTGCCAGCCCCAGGCCAGCCCTCTGGAGCATCCTGTCCC